TGAGGGGGGTGACAGACACAGAGAGGCTTCGTGGCTGTGCACAGGGTCAGCTCCCATGGGGGCGACGGTCAGAGTCTTCCACTCACACACGCTATGCCATGGATGGGCAACAGAAGGCCAAGAGTGGGGGGTTATGATTGGGTGGGGCCAGGTCTGAAACTCAAGGTGTGAGGGGGTGCAAGGGCCTGCCTGATGTCCCAGTGTGGCTTCCATCCCCTCTCCACTCCCTGTCTAGTCGGGATGCTCACCACTACCCTGTCAGCCCTGGAAACCAGTCCAGGGCACTCGCCTTGTTTCTGTCTTCTGCAGAGCCCATTTCTCCCTGCCAGCCCTCTCCTTCTGGTCCAGAGAGATCATCCTTCAGCTCTAATTTTTCCCCCTAAACTAAGCAAAGAGCAGTGCAGGACAGCAAGAGGCGGTGCTCTTGGGCTGGGTACAGTAGCTCACACATGCAATCCCAGCACTTTGAGAGGCTGAGGTGGGAGGACTGGCTGAGCCCAGGAGTTGGAGACCAGCCTGTCCAAAATAGCGAGATGCTGTCTCTACCAGAAATAATTTAAAAAAATTAACCAGGCATGGTGGCACACATCTGTAGTCCCAGCTACTTAGGAGGCTGAGGTGGGAGGATCACAGGAGCCCTGGAGCTTGAAGCTGCAGTGATGGTGCCACTGCACTCCAGCCTGGGCAGCAGAATGAGACCCTGTCTCTTGGTTCTGAAAAACTCAGTTCAACAGTCTGGGCCTATTTAGGCCCTACCCAGTCCCTATCCTCTGCCCCCGTCAAGCAGGGGTAGCTTTGACCCCAAGTCCCACTGTTACCCTGGGCACTGCTCATTAACCTCTGCTTGGGCTGAGTCACGCCCATAATGCCCACCTGCCTGGCCCAGCCCCCTCTTTCCCTTCCCACAGTTCCTTTTGGTGAGAAATTTGCATGGCATCCTCCCACAGAAACCAGGAGGATGCGCTCCCGAGCTGGGTCCTATAGGACTCGCCCTGGGGGATGTCCCGACCACTGTGGAGCCGGGACCTTGCTCGCGCAGCAGTAGGTAGGCCTCCCCTGCTTTTCTGTCTCCCTTCCTGCGCTGGCCGCCACCACGTCAGGACACCAGCAGGAGGGGAAAGGGACATCTGCAGGGAAGAGGTGGCAGCAGCAGTCAGACAGGTGGGGAAGGTGGGAAGTGTCGGGCAAGGTAGCCAAGGGGTTGTGAGTTTCTGGACTCAGTCCAGGGGCATGCGCCCCAGCCTTGCCTCCCCACGGCCGTCGGAAGATAGCTGCCCAGCATGGCACTGTTTGCCAAGTGCTCTCCTGTCTCTCTGCATCTGCTTCTCACCATGTCCCACTGCATGTTATTAACATGCTCATTGTACACAGAACACTGAAGCCCAGGGCGGCAAAGAGACCTGCCCAAGCCCATACAGCTTGATGGTAGCAACCGGTGTGGGAATTTGGACCACACTGGCAGAGACGCTAGGAGAACCAGATTTTGTAAATGATGCTTTGACTTATCAAGAGAGGTTTACTTTCTCGAGCAAGCAAGAGATTGTGTGCGTGCGTGTGCACTGTTTCAATAAGCCTCCTCGTGGCAATCCCAGGAAGGACAGAATACTCTACTCTGTGCCCTCCAGCCAGTCAGCTGCTTCTGCCCTGCGCTGAGCCTAGGCCAGTGTCCACGGAGACATCAACCAGCAGGACTGGCACGGGCCATATAACTGCCCAGCAAGGGCCATCCAGCCATCAGGGGGGTCCTATTACCCCACACAGCTTTCCAGCTGAGGCCTATGCGGACAGGCCGCAGATGCACATGGGGCCCTCCTGCCCCAGCCAACAAACTCTCTTGGCCAACACACTACTTCCTGATGCTAGCCCAGACGAAGGCCTTCAAACAACCAGTGATCTCTCTACTTCCTGAAGCTAGCGCAGATGAAGGCTTTAAAAAACCAGTGATCTCTCTTCTGTCTCTGCCACGGAGGTCAGCCTGTACAGCTCAGCTCCCCGCAAGCCCGATCTCCCATTCCTGAAGCGAGCACCCTGGCAATCCCGACTCGTGCTGGGAGCTGGCAGGGGTGCCAGCCAAGGCTGACAATGTAGCTGCAGGGAATGTGCCAAGTGCCTCGCCCAAGGCTACGGCTGCCTGCCAAGGCCCTGCAGCCCAGCATGCGGGAGACGAGGAGAGGGAAGCCGGGGTGCTGGCTGAAGTCCAGGTGCCTTTTCTCAGAATCTGCAGTCTGGCCCACACCTGGGATGCTCCTTTCCGTGGAGTTTGGGGACAAGCCTGCTTCTCTGCTGGTGCAGTGAGTGAGTCCAGGTCCCAGGGCAAGAGGTCACCTGACCCAGGGAGCACACACAGGCCTTCAGGGGATGAATGCCATTGTGCCCTTCCTCCCAAGAAGCACTGGGGAACTGAAACTGAGTCGCAGAGAGACGGGCTCAAGGCAGCTGCAACCCCAGGCACGAGGAAGGGGAGGGGCCGAGCCGAGATAAAGGGAGCACTGACCTGGAGTAACCTTTCCCAGCGCTTGCCTAGCCCGCCCACCCCCGGCCCACCAGGGAGCCAGGAGACAGACCGGGCGGCGGTAGGAAGGGCGGCCACACCAGGAGCAGGAAGTGTGTCCCGCCGCAGTGGCAGCCTGGGGCCGGCATCTCTGGTCTGGTGGCCCGGGAAGGCAGCTGAGCCAGTTGGTAGCTGGGCAGGCCCGTGGGCTCAGGAGGGGGTGGCCTTGACCCCAAGTCCCACTGCTGCACTGGGCGCTGCTCATTAACCTCCGCTTGGGCTGAGTCATGCCCATAATGCCCGCCTGCCTGGCTGGCCAAATCTGCTGGACGCCAGCCTTCAAAGGGCCCAGGGGCCCAGGAGGGGCTGGGCAGCAGGCTTCGTCCGGCGGTTGCTGCTCATGAATGGCAGGCATCTCCTCCTAGCTGCCTCCAGGAGTGGAGCGGGCAGGAGGTCTCAAGGCTCAAACCGCTAGGATCGCAGCTCTAAGGCCAGGACAACCTCCTTGAGGAGGAGAGGAAGCAGAAGTGGCCTGGAGCATGCAGGCAACCAGCACAGGACAGTCCTCACCCAGCCTTCCTGTCTCTCCACTACCTCGCCTGAGTCCATGGTGGCCCAAGGCCCTGCCCACCCCAGCCCCACTCTCTCATGGCCTGCCCACACCTTTGGCATCAGCCCTGGCCTGTCCCGGGCTGTCCCCACCGCTCACGACTCCCTGCCCCTGGGCCTCCCTGCCAAACGCCTCCCTCCATGCCCAGCACCCCAACCTGCCCCACCTCGTGGCCCCCGTAGAAGGCGATCTCCTCTGAGTTGGCCACCACACGTGAGTGCATGTAGCGCAGCTCCCCCTTCCGCCGTGCCTCCTCTGCCACCAGCTCCCCGAACTTAGGTGAGAAGGCCCGCAGCACGTTGGCCGTGAGGAACACCACGAGGCCGGCAATGGCCGAGGGCCAGGCTGTGCCGGCCCCACGGGAGCGGGCTGCCCGAAGCAGGGTGTAGGAAGTCACAGCCACGTCCAGGAGTGGCTTGGTCAGGTTGGAGTAGAGGTGGGCCACAGAGGCCGCGAAGGCCACCACATCCTCCGTCAGAGACTGGTCAGGGTTGCGAAGCCGCCCGTCCATGTTGCTGACTCGGTAGTAGGTCTGCTGGGAGAAGTAGAGGCTGTAGGCGTGGGCCACCAGACGGCTGCGGAAAGACAGGGCCAGCTGGCCCTCCAGGTAGCGGATGGCACTGTTGACAAAGGTGGCAGGGAGGGCGATGAGGAGCCACTGCAGCAGCTGCCAGCCGAAGGCCCGAGGGTCCTTGCGCACGATGCAGCGGGCCAGCCTTCCGTCCAGGCGGGCCACATACACCGACAGGAACGTGCGGCTCACCAGGGCGGCCGAGTGCAGGGCCAGCAGCCCCGTCTCCCGGCACAGGACCCGCGGGAACAGAAGCCGCAGGAGCCACAGGAGCCTCTGCAGGAATACCCGGTTCATGCCGGCCTTGGCCGCCGCGGCCCCGGAGGCCTCCTGTGTGGGGTCCCTGGTGGGAGCCTGAGGACCCCTGGCCAGGGCCAGGCACTGGCGCACCAAGGGGTAGGCTTTGTGGGCTCCATAGGCCGCGAGGGCCAGGAGCACCGCCGTGCGCTTCAGCGTGCTCCCCCGCCAGGGCCGGGGCGTGGAGAGCACCGGCATGTCACCTGGGCTGGCTGGCGAGCAGGGGCTGGGGCTGGTGCCTGGGGCAGCAGTTGAGGCAGGTGGCTGGAAGGGTTGTTGCTCGGACCCTGGGCCTGTTGTCTAGGCAACTGGAAACCTTGCGGTGGCCCCTGAGACTGTCGATTTAGGCCCCCGGGGTGGTGCTGGGGCCCCTGGTGCAGTGGGCTCAGAGCCCTCCAGGGTCGAGGCCTCTTCGGGCAGCCCAAGTGGAGGAACTTGGCTCTCCTGTCCTGTCAGTGCCCTGGCCCCTGAGGTCAGAACCTTGAGAGGTCTCGGGGAGAGAGGGCGTCTCTTCCTCTCCACCTTCTCCTCCTCCTCCCCTGGTGGCGCCCCCTCCCCGGGGCACCAGGCGCGTCCGTCCGTTCCGCAGCCTGGTTGAAGCGACAGTGACTCCTCCACCGGCCCAGAATCCCCACCTACTCACCCCTCCCCAGGGGCGAGGTGGGGGAAGGGGAGGAGGCGGAGGAGGGGCGAGGGGCGGAGTCCGGGCGCGGGAGCCCCACCCCGTTCTCGCCCCACCCCGTTCTCGCCCCACGACGGGGGCCCGCCCACTTCCGCACCACAGAGACGTGGGATGGCCGCGCGGGCTAGAGAAGCGGCCGTCGCCGGCCAGCCAATGACCCGCCCTGCCCGCGTGCCCGCTTCACCCCGCCCTTCTACCCGCTCCGCGCGCCCAGAGCCAAGGCGCCGCTTCCTCTCGCGCCCGGGGCGCTGGCCCTCCGCTCGGGGCGGGGCGGGAGGCGGGGCGGGAAGCGGCGGGCGGCGGAGCCTCTGAGGCCTCGCGAGGGCTAGTGGGCGGTGCCCGGCGGGCGCTTCCGGTTTCCGGCCGCGGGGTTAGGGGCGGGGCCGGGACTGGGACTGCTGTGGGAGAGTTTGGTGGCTGCGGCGGGGCTTGCTGACTGATTGTGGGAAACTCGGTGAGCGGGCTCCGCGCGCCGGGCTGGGCTCCTGGGCTGCCGAGGCTCCCAGGCCCGTCGATGAGGGAGAGAGGCAAGCAGCGCTGGGAGGCCCGGGGGCCGGGGAATCTCGGGGCCCGCAGCCTACCTGGGTGTGGGGGGTAGGGGCGAGGGGAAAACTGGGCGGCATGTCTAGGATCTGGGCTCGGGGGCGGGGTGGGGCGGGGGGGTGGCCGGGCTGCGCCTCGGGGACGGTGTGCCGGGCCGGAGCCACGTCGGGGAGCCTCCGGTGCGCGTGGCCGGCTTTCGCTCTGGGTGGGCGCTGTGGCCGGCCGGGGCTGCTGGAAGGGGCCCTGGCTTCTGAGAACACTGCGTGTAGAACTTTATTCGTATGGGGCCTTGAGGTGCTCCGTCGAGACCTGCCTTTGCGCCTGGCCCCGACTCCTGTCCTCTAGGAGTCGCTCTTGCGGGTCTCCAGCCCACCGGAGGCGGAGCGACCCCGGGCGGAAGGCTGCTTGAGCCCGGAGGGAGGTGCTGGATTCTCTCCGCAGGCGTCGTGGGGAGGGTGGGGGTGGGGGCGTCGGCAGCGCTTGGTCCAAGCGGCCCAGGGCCCTCCTGATAGCGAGAATTTGGGCTCGCAGAGCGCCGGCCTCTGCGGCTGAGCTCCGCCTGGCGGGGAAGGGAGCGCCCGATTGGTGCCAAGGCGTCTTGTTGGCGCCCTGGTACTGCTCTTTCCGAAGAACACCTTTCCAGTTAAACGGGCGTCGGGAGTCTGGGGCTCCCTGGGACAGGGATTGTTGGGAGAGGTGGCTCTGGACGTGTTGACACACGTGTTGGAGGGGGGCAGGTAACTGACCAGTGAACGGAAGTTTGTGGGGCTGTGAACGCTGCTGGCCTAGCGGCCTTGCCGAGTTGAGCCCTGCTCCCGCCAGCGCTTCAGAGACTCTGAAGCAGAGTGCAGGGGTGGGTGGGGGGGTGGGTGGGTGTGTGTCAGGGTGGAGACTGGCGGTCCCAGCCTCTCGGGGTACCTGAACTGGATGTCCTTGGCTGCCCAGCGCTTACAAGTCCTGTTCCTTCTGTGCCCTGCCAGGAAACAAGCTCACATCTCCCTGTGGGGAACCTTCTAGCAACAGGATGAGTCTGCAGTGGACTGCAGTTGCCACCTTCCTCTATGCGGAGGTCTTTGTTGTGTTGCTCCTCTGCATTCCTTTCATTTCTCCTAAAAGGTACGGCCTGTGGAGCAAGCAGGCAAGTTAGGCAGGAGGGTGCCTGTGCCCTAGCCCTGGGACTGATGTGTGCAGCTCGTGGACCCTGGAACTGGGGCCTGATGGAACAGGTAGAACCTGTCTGAGGTGGAGGTGGCAGGGGTTGTGTGCGTTATCGCCAACCCTCCCCAGAGTTCTCCTTCATCATGACTTGCTCAGTTCCTTTCCCGTGTCCCCTGCCTTCTGGTCTTCAGAATGCCCTGGAGAGGCAGGAAGATCTATATTTCGGTTCTGGAAATGATGCCCTCACGCCTACTCTTGGTCCCTGGGGTGCTGCGATGGCCGCGTGGGATCTGGAGGACTTGCACCACTGGGTCACGTTGTTTCTGATTTGGTGACTCTTGTCCTCCTAACGAGTCTCACTGCCATTGCGCAGTGGCTGCATGAACATTACTCAGCCTGTAAAGGATGAAGCCATATTCCCTTTTAATGAACACAAGACCTTAAAAAAGTGAATGAGAAATTAATTTTTAATTATGTTTAATACCGGAACACATTGTCCGTATTTAAATTACAGTGTTACTTATGAATAAGGGCAAATTTCCACAGGTTTTTTCAAAAGCTGTTTTTTGGTGAAAAATGACAGATCCACTGCTGCCTGAGGAGGATTCTTGCAAAAAACCAAACCTTTGTGCAGTTGACAGGACATGCAGAGACTGAGGGCCCCGGGGAGCTTTAATCTGGGAAACTGTAGAGGACAAACGGTCTGGTTTCTGCACAAAGCAAACTGGAAGAGCAAATGAAAGAGGGAGAGGGAAGGGGAACTTACGGAATAAGAGAGATTTGAGACACTTACCTACCGAATGCTTAATCAGTTCCTTATTGGGTCCTGATTCAGACAAATGCTGTTGCCTGCAGTGATTGGCCTTTTCAACTCTAGCTCTGATCATGAGGGCTCCTTGTTGGTTTGAACAGTATGTAAACACTTCTGAAGTTTCTTAGAGCTGCATCCCAAAACATTTGTGGATGGAAGTGATGTGAGGTCTGGGGTCCATCTCATCATAACCCAGGGTGGTGGGGATCTAGACAAACCAAGGTTTGTCATGTGGAAGACAGTTTAAAGAAATAACACATGTAGGGGCAAACATTTGGAATATTACAAAGGGGAGTACAATGAAAAGTAAGTTTCCCTTCTCAGAGACTACCACTATGTGGTTTGTTTGTTTTTTAGACAAAGTCTTGCTCTGTCACCTAGGCTGGAGTGCAGTGGCGTGGTCTCAGCATACAGCAACCTCCACCTCCCGGGTTCAAGTGATTCTCCTGCCTCAGCCTCATGAGTAGCTGGGACTACAGGCGCCTGCCACCATGCCCAGCTAATTTTTTCTTTTTATATTTTTAGTAGAGATGGGGTTTCACCATGTTGGCTGGGCTGGTCTCAAACTTCTGACCTCAGGTGATCTGCCCACTTCTGCCTCCCAAAGTGCTGGAATTATAGGCGTGAGCCACTGTGCCTGGCCAACTACCAGTGTTTTAAGATTAGTTTTCCAGACTTTCTATCTATACATGGACCAGCATCTTTTTTTTTTTTTTTTTTTTTGAACTAGGGTCTTGTTCTGTTGCCCAGGCTAGAGTGCAGTGGTGCGATCTCGGCTCGCTGCAACTTCGCCTCTCAGGTTCAAGTGGTTCTCCTTCCTCAGCCTCCTGAGTAGGCTGGGATTACGAGTGCCCACCACCATGCCTTGCTAATTTTTGTACTTTTAGTAGAGATGGGTTCTTGCCATCTTGGCCAGGGTGGTCTTGCACTCCTGACCTCAAGTGATCCGTCCACCTTGACCTCCCAAAGTGTTGGGATTATGGGAGTGAGCCATTGCACCTGGCCTTTTTTCCAACACTCTCGAGTGGACGTCATATTGGAGAACTGCAAGCCAATGAGGCCGTTGGAGAAGAGGACAAAGCTGGATTTCCATTCTGCTCAGGGCCCTAGAGCCCGTGTGTGTGTACTTTCTGTTCAGCCCCTGTCCTTTTTGTCTTCACAGATGGCAGAAAATTTTCAAGTCCCGGCTGGTGGAGTTGGTGGTATCCTATGGCAACACTTTCTTTGTGGTTCTCATTGTCATCCTGGTGCTGCTGGTCATCGGTGAGTGAGCTAGACCTTGGTCTCTGCTGCAAAGCCCTTTGCCACTTTTGATGTGTAGCATCCAGTTCTGACTGCTCGGAGATAGACTGATGAAATGCTGTGTCTTTCTCTTGGGGGAAGGAAGAGGCTCCCTTTGTCCATGCTGCTGACTGCTATTCAGGCCTTCACTTTGAAAGGCCCCTCTAGGCCGGGCATGGTGGCTCATGCCTGCAATCCTGGCACTTTGGGATCCCGAGGTGGGCGGATCACCTGAGGCGAGGAGTTTGAGACCAGCCTGACCAACGTGGTGAAACCCCATCTCTACTAAAAATACAAAAATAGCTGGGCGTGGTGGTGCATGCCTATAATCCCAGCTACTCGGGAGACTGAGGCAGGAGAATCACTTGAATTCAGGAGGCAGAGGTTGCAGTGAGCCGAGATTGTGCCATTGCGCTCCTGTCTGGGCAACACAAGTGAAACTCTCAAAAAAAAAAAAAAAAGCCCCCTTTAGCAGTTGGCATGGGCTTATACTAAGCAGTTTGTATGCAGCCTTATCATGGCCACCCTACATTGTTTTTTTTTTCAAGACCTTGGGAGAAAGGACACCTTAGGTTTCTGAGGCTGCTCCTCAGGTCACTGTAGAACTGAAGCCAAGAGAAGCTAACTGGCCTGAGACCTTGGTCTGAGGAGTGCTGCTCACCAGTCACTGAAAGAGCAGCATTGTCTGGAGCAAGGCCTCTAGTGGGGGACTGAGCAGGCAAGCTCACCATGAACCTAGCTGTGAGGGAGGTCCTGCTGTTCCCTGGAGGAGGAGGAGGAGGACACTGAGATGTGTGGCGCGAGGTCCTAGACCTCACTGCGGCTGGGCTAGACTTGACATTTTGCCAGGTCTTTCCAGCTCTGTAGTTCTGTAAACTCTGACACTGAGGTGCACACCAGCAGGGACTTGGTGGATAAGCTGGTCCGAGGGAAAGCAGCTCAAGGATGAGGCCAGGCCAGGCAGTGTTAAGATGAGTGGCAGACATTTTACAGTGAGGTAGTGGGGCCAGGCCAGGCGGTGTTAAGATGAATGGCAGACATTTTACAGTGAGGTAGTCGGGTGACCATCTGGAGATGAGGAATCGATAAAGCTCTTGTCTGACTGTTAGGTGTTTGTTGCTCTGCTGTGGTAAGTGATCAGTATGTCCCCCTGTTTGGGCTCCGAAGTATTGGTTTGGCTCTGCTGTGGACACCAGTCTTGTCTCAGAGCTGTGGTGCCTGCCTAGGCATGGAACACTCCTCCCACTGAGTCCGGTGGGGGAGGTGGAGGGGGGTGGGGGAGTTGTGGAGGCTGTAGTTCAGGGGAATGTGCAAAGCCCCACCTACCAGCTTCAGCATCAGGCATTTATCCTTCCTGATGTCTCAGGGCCTGGTAGGTTATGTTCGGGCAAGACTACCTCTGAACAGGCCAACTGTGACCTGACAGCTTCCAGCCACAGAGGGTAGGTACCAGCTGCCTGAGTATCTCAGTGTTCCCCAAATAATAGGCAAGGTACCAATAGGTAGCTCTTTCTAACCAGGGTTCGTTCTCTCCCTGAGCACCCTCCAAGCAGGCAATCTATGTGTCGTCCCCAGGGCTAAGTGCGCATGAAAAGCCAGGCTACAGAGTTTTTGAACTGAGCGTGTGTGTTTTGGTTTTTGGGTCTGGGGTGGGGATTGGGGAAGAGAGGGACCATGCTGAGGATGATTCCCTCAGGGCCTTGCCCCCTCCCCAAACCAGAAGGAGTATATCTCTTTCCTAGAGCAGCTGAGTAGGCTGGAGAGATCCTTTGCAGAATCCAGTAGTTGACAAAGCCTTCATTCTTTTTTGGGATCAGGCAACTGCTTAGAAGTTCTAGAGGAACATATGGCCATGGTGACTGGCTGCTTCCTACTCTCATGTTAAGAAGCATAATCTAGAAAGATCTGCAGAGCCTTCTTCAAATAGAAGTATTAGTCACAGGTACTAGTGAAGGGTAATGGGCATAACCAGCTAGAGCTGCATCCTTACTTGGGGGCAGAGAGGTTCGAGCAGATCTGCCTGGGAGGGTGTAGGATCTTCCCACCTGGGCTGAGGCCTGAGACAGGGAGAGACTTGGGTTAGTATTGCTTAGTCCTCCGTCCCCACTCTTGGTCGTTGGCCAAGGTGGTCCTTAGGATGATGGGGTTCTTGGATGCAGCTGACAGTGTAAGAAAAAATGTATTTTATCTTGTTTTTCTGATTACAAAAACAATGCGTAATTCTTAAAAATTCAAAAATTAAGTTTAGAAAATTAAACTTCCTCTTAATCCCATGTCCCACAGGTAACCGTCATGAATATTTTGTTACACATTTCCGCAGGTGTTTTCTATGCTGACATCTTTAATAAAATGTCTACAGCAGTGGGTTCATACACACAGAGTATTTATGTTTCTTTTTTAATTTTAGTTTTTATTTTTATTTATTTATTTATTTTAAACACGGGGTTTCACCATGTTGGTCAGGCTGGTCTTGAACTCCTGACCTCAGGTGATCCACCCGCCTTGGCCTCCAAAGTGCTTGGATTACTGGCGTGAGCCACCACGCCCGGCCTGAGTATTTATGTTTCCTTCCACGGTCCTGCTGGGACATGGCGGGAGGAGCATTCCACGCTTAAGCAGGCAGCACAGCTCTGAGACAAGACTGCTGTCCACAGCAGAGCTGAGCCAGTGCTTCGGATTGTGCTTTTGCCACTTACTGCACCTTAGACAGCTTTTTTTTTTTTTTTTTTTTTTTGAGACAGACTCTCACTGTGTCACCCAAACTAGAGTGTAGTGGCACCATCTCAGCTCACTGCAACCTCTGCCTCCCAGGTTCAAGCAGTTCTCCTGCCTCAACCTCCTGAGTAGCTGGGGACTACAGGTGCCCACCACCACGCCCAGCTAATTTTTCACCATGTTGGCCAGGCTGGTCTTGAACTCCTGGCCTTATGTGATCTGCCTGCCTTGGCCTCCCAAGGTGCTGGGATTACAGGTGTGAGCCGCCATGCCTGGCTGACATCTTTGTATTTCAATATCATTCTTCTTAAAGATCATGTAGTATTCTTTCATATGGTTGTGCCCTGGTCAGTTCTTTATAAGCCTCCTCGCATCATCGCAAATTTATGCAAATCCTTCTGTGGGCAAATACAGAGGTGGATTGCTGAACCCAAGGATATGAACACTTTACATTTTATACATGTGTGCTGTTTATACCCCTGCTAATAGTGTTTGAGAGTACTTGCTTTGGCCGGGCGCAGTGGCTTATGCCTGTAATCCCAGCACTTTGTGAGGCCGAGGCGGGTAGATCACAAGGTCAAGAGATCAAGACCATCCCCGCGAACGTGGTGAACCTCCGTCTCTACACAAAACAAACAAAAGAAGAGAGTACTTGCTTCATGGTACTGATGTAACACAAAGACGCCAGGAAGGATGGGCAGATTTTTATAATGCAAGATCAGCTAAAAACCAAGCAGCCTAAAACCGGAAATGAAGAACGCCATGAGGCCGAGCCCTGGCTCATACTTGTAATCCCTGCACTTTGGGAGGCCAAGGCCATTGCTTGAGCTCAGGAGTTCAAAACCAGCCTGGGCAACATGGTGAAACCCTGTCTCTATCAAACATAGAAAAAGAAAAAAAATTAGCTGAGTGTGGTAGCATACACTTGTGGTCCCAGCTACTGGGGAGGCTGAGGTGGAGGGATTGCCTGAGGCTGAGAGGCAGAGGTTGCAGTGAGCTGAGATTGTGCCACTGCACTCCAGCCTGGGTGACAGACTGAGACCCTGTAACCTACCCTACAAAAAGAATCTTGATGCCCTTACAGTGATATCTTACCCTTCTCATATGGGAGTCTGTTAAGCACATTCTTTAGGTACATCTTAGTGTATTGACTTAAAAAGATGTCTCAGGATACATGGTAAAAAGCAGTAGGTTTGGTGTGGCTCAATTTTCAATTTCTACGTTAGAGACAAATGTAAATATATTTTAACTGGTGCTCTATATGTCTAACAGCAGTTCTTTGAGGAGCAGAGGCTGTTCACTGACTCAGCAATTATTTCAGTGCCCACTCTGCACCCAGAGCTATGTCAGGCCCTGGGAATATAGTAGAAAAGATTTCTGCTCTTGTGAAGTTTGTACTCTTGTTTGGGAGAGTTGGACCCAAAAAATGTGTTTTGTTTTGTTTTGTTTTTTGAGATGGAGTTTCGCTCTTTGTTGCCCAGGCTGGAGTGCAATGGCACGGTCTCGGCTCACTGCAACGTCTACCTTCTGGGTTCAAGCAATTCTCTTGCGTCAACCTCCTGAGTAGCTGGGATTACAGGCACGCTCTGTCACCCAGGCTGGAATGCAGTGGCATGATGTTAACTCATGGCTCCTCTGACGTCTTGGGCTCAAGCGATCTTCTTGTCTCAGCCTCCCGAGTAGTTGGGACTACAAGTGTGCACCACCATGGCCAGCTATTAATTTTTTTTTTTTTTTTTTTTTTTTTTTTTGGTAGAAACAGGGTCTTCCTGTGTTGCCCAGGCTGGCCGTGAACTTTTGGCCTCAAGTAGTCTCCCTGTCTTGGCCTCCCAAACTGTTGGGATTACAGGCGTGAGCCACCACATCTGGCCTGGGGCTTGACTCTTCAGCATCTTAGGTCCCCTCAGCAGGCGTTTCTATCACCAGGTTCACCCGGGCTTATCACTGGGGGCGGCCGGTGGGCCAACCTGAGATGAACAGAACAAGATGTGGTTGGGTGCACCGTGGGAAAAGGAAGCCACCCCTGTTTCTAGCAACTCTTTAGGCTTGGTTGGCATCTTGAACTGCAGAGCAAGCCTGCATCGAATGGGGCGAGGGATTGAAAAACTGGAGAAAGGAGTGGGTCTGAGGGTAGGAGCTTCTTTTTTTTTGAGGCGGAGTTTCACTCTTGTCCCCTAGGCTGGAGTGCAATGGTGTGATCTTAGCTTCCTGCAACCTCCGCCTCCTGGGTTCAAGCGATTCTTTTGCCTCAGCCTCCTGAGTAGGTGGGATTACAGATGCTCACCACCACTCATGGCTATTTTTTTTTTTTTTTTTTTTTTAAGTAGAGACAGAGTTTTGCCATGTTGGGCAGGCTGGTCTTGAACTCCTGACCTCATGTGATCTGCCCACCTTGGCCTCTTAAAGTGCTGGGATTACGGTGTGAGCCCCCCCTGAGGGGGAGCTTCTGATAGCAGCATCCCACAAGGGGTGTGTGGGTGTAGAAGTGGGAAGAACTGAGGAGGCCAATGTGAGGGGGGAAGTGAGGCTGACCTGTCTCCTGCTGCGTCTGCCTGGTACAGCCTTGACTTGCCCTAGTGTCTGCTACACACTTATGTTTCCCTCTGCTCCACCACAGATGCCGTGCGCGAGATTCGAAAGTACGATGATGTGACCGAAAAGGTGAACCTCCAGAACAACCCTGGAGCCATGGAACACTTCCACATGAAGCTTTTCCGTGCCCAGAGGAATCTCTACATTGCTGGCTTTTCCTTGCTGCTGTCCTTGTGAGTGGGGGGTCGAGGGGCAGGTGCTGTTAGAGGAGCCCTGGGCTAGCCAGGGACACGAAGCTCAGTGGGCTCAGTCTCCCCTGTGACTTTGATTCCTCCTCAGTCTGTGGCCTGGACCCCAAGGCCCTGTCTGTGTTAGGGAAGCCACATAGTTTTGTCCTCACCTCTAGAGGCAGCATGGAGAGTGGGAGACGGCCACCCGAAATGTCAGAAGACCCTAACGCACCACAGACTCTCTTGGGGCAAACAAATGACTATCTCGTGCTCTGTTTGCATGGAGAGTTAGGTGTAGTGGTAAGGCCTTGTTCTCCTCCGGGAGAGGACCTTCGGAGTCCAGCTCACAAGGGAGCAAGCGAATGGGGGCTCTTTGTGTCTGGGATGCTGACCTAGGGACAGCAGGTAGAAGTGGCACGAAGAGGCCAGGCCTCTCCTCCCCTCACCTCAGGGCCTTTCTCACGTAAAACTCGTAATGAGGGCATGTTAGCTTCCATGGCAGCCAGAGTATTTCTGGTGGATTTTTTGGGTAAAATTAAGTACCTTGGTCAGGACGAAGCTAGTTGGGCAAGATTTGCCTGCTGTGAGGTGCCTATTTGAGTCTGGGGCCCTGTTTGCTGCATCTTGCTTTACCCAGCAGTTCTGATCTGCAGGGCCTGGTTGAGAGGTAGATGGAAGCTCAGACCAAGAGTGTATGAAGGCGTTGGAAAGGTGCTTGCTGTGAGCGTGGAGCCCTCACGACTTCATCACTTCTCGAAAGGCCCCTCCTCTTAATGCTACCATGGTGGGGATGAAATTCTAACACATGAATTTTGGAGGGCACTTAGCCCATAGCATCAAGTGATCACGTGGATTCTCAGGCTCATGCACAGTTATTCTCCACTTGGTTTTGTGTCCCGAGACTCAAGAATCTCCATGCCTAGGAGATTCTTGCCCTCTAGTTACCTGGTGTGTCCTGCTTTACCAGGCACTACGATGACTGCTTGTCTTAAAGTCTGTCATTCAGATAATCTTGTACTCTGTGTCCAAGTTGGAAAGACTTGTGGAGCTAGAAAAGGTAAACACTTTTTGTTTTTTCAAGATAATGGGTTTGATCACAGATTTGATCTACAAGCTTGCCATCTTCAAACTTAGGAAGTGAGAAGGCCGGGAGGAGTCAGACACATACCCTAGATTTTCCAGGAAGTTCCAAACAAGTATGATCTTGTGGGCTGAGGTTGAAAGGGAAGCAGATCTGGAGGACTGAGTTTCAAAACCAGAATTCCGAGTATGACAGTCAGCCAAATGAGGAAAAAAGACCACAGTGAGGAGGGAAGGAGAGGAAACTAAGGCCATCTACCAGAAAAGCATCTAGAGCTTTAAGAACAGTATGCGGGGGCCGGGTGCGGTGACTCACACCTGTAATCCCAGCACTTTGGGAGGCTGAGGCAGGTGGATCACCTGAGGTCAGGAGTTCGAGACCAGCCTGGCCAACATGGTGAAACCCTGTGTCTACTAAAAATACCAAAAAATTAGCCGGGCTGGTGGTAGGCACCTGTAATCCCAGCTACTTAGGAGGCTGAGGCAGAAGAATCACTTGAACCTGGGAGGCAGAGGTTGCAGTAAGCTGAGATTACACCACTGCACTCCAGCCTGGGTGACAGAACGACTCTATCTCAAAAAAAAAAGAATAGTATCGGGAAGGTAAAAACCTGCCAGGAACTCTGAATCATGAGAGATGGGGAGAAGTGGGGAGAAGGCAGTCCCTTTCATGTCTGTAGGGAAGGAGATGGAGGGTAGGTGGTCAAGGGCAAAGGAAACACTTGGATAAGAAAATGGAATTTCCAGATGGGCGAGGGTAGCGTCCCTAAATGATGTACTTTCTGCTTAGACTTGATGAGATTATGCCCAGAAGCTGTTGAGATTGGTCTGCAGATGGAATTGCCACCGATGCTTGAGGATTTGCAGAGTGGGAGCAATACTGGCAGACTGCAGCCAGGCAAGCAACCCAATTTCCAAAGGGAGGAGCAGGTAGATGAGGAATTGACATGGGGAGGGTTGACTTTGATCTCCAGACATGCTCTACAAAGAATAGCTGTATGCTTTCAGAAAAGAAGAGTGGGATCATTGGTGACTGCTGTGAATTTTTGGAGAAGTTCCGTCAGCCTTCTATAGATGGAGTGTAGATGGATTTTTAGCGTGACGCTTGCTAGTCTGAGTCTGTTCTTAAGGACCAGATGCTGAAGTGCGAGGAAGGTGCCAGGAGAACAGTGTAGTTAGGTGTGGTCCGAACCCACATGGGTGGCTGCCATGTGGATCAGCTCCATCCACATAGAAGCCCTAGGAGGCTCACTCTTTATGTCTGGCTTGCCCAGTGTTTATCTGCCTGAAGACATTTGTCATGGTGAGCAGATGTGGGGAGAAATGGATGCTAGGAGGAATAGCAAGAAGGTTAGTGACCATTCAGAATCCTTAGCTGTCTAGATGGGCTCCCTGATCAGAATGAATTCAGTGAGACTTGAGTTTTCAATGGGAGACATTATTCTAAGGGCATGTAGCTTCATAAAGGGCAGGGAGGACTGGGCTACCCAGGAGCTCAAAGACTTAGGGGTTGGGGCTTATTGCAGTTCAGTTTATGTTAGTGACAGAACTACTGCAAAAAAGAGCAGTTAGCAGCCTTCAGTGAAGGCTAGGGCTGCCAGGAGAGAGGTGCTGGCGCTGGCAGGTTTGGCTGCCAGTCCTGTGCTACCTGGAGGATTGCATTCAGGCCCCACCTTTTTGGGAGCAGATTGCTGCCTCAGAAGCTGTCATAGTGGTAGCAGGTATGCCAGTGCTGATTCCTCACAGACTGCTTTTTACTAATAAGTCCTTTGTTCTCTGGACTCCATTCTGCTTTCATGATCTTGTTTCTAGGACGCCTCCAGGTTGGGCGCTACAAGTATTGTCTGACCATGCCAGGGGACAGTGGAATGGTCACCTCCCTCCTGTAGCTTTGAGGTAGCTAGGCTACCAGGCAAATGTGTTGCGCTCAGTGTAGTCCTCTCTGTGTGCCTTAGTGTGAAGCTAGGATGTTCCAGATTAATTTCTACAGTAGACATTTGAAAAATATTGACATGTTGTAAAATTAACTTTCTGGCATACAGTTGTGAGTGTTTTGACATGCAGAGTGTTGGTTAATACCACCGCCATTAGGATGCAGCACAGCTCACACTTTCTACCCTCAATGCCTGGCTTCCAGTAAAGGCAGTTCTCAGGAGCACCTCCAGTATACCCAAAGTGATGCCCGGAGGCTGCAGTGCAGTTGACTTCGGCCCGCTGTTGCAGTCCACTCTTACAGTCCTGACATGCTCTCTGGTGTCTGCGGCCTCTCTCACTTCTCTGTTACCTTTCCCTTTGACACGAGTGTGAGGCCTCACCTCACTCACTGTTGAACAAGTCTGACAAGCAAGCGGCCCTACTGCTTTCTCGGCCGGACGGTTCACGCAGTCACGCACATCGTGTGTGCACCTTGGCTGGAAGCTGCGCATCAGCTGCCTCGGTGTGCCTGCCGCCTCCTCCCATCCTCCCATCCAGTAGCCTGATCCAAAAAAGGCACGAGGTTGGTCTTTCGTGACTTCTTAGAAAAGGAAATGGTGGGTGGAGGAGGAAAAAAACAAATAAAAAAAATTTAAAAATTTTTAAAAAAAGAAACGGTGATCCCAGGGATCAGTGGGGATTCACCAGTTGCCCATAAGGGATTTAGTTAATCATTTCTGGAATTTTGCCAGAACTCGGTATTCCTTGATAGTCTAAGAGTTAAATCTAAGATGGTGGCTGTGACCCTAGCGGAACTTCGCTTTGTTTGTGATGCTCTTGTCCAGCCTTACAGCCACACAGCCCATCTGCAGCTTGCGGGAGACACTTAAAAACAAAGGAGGCTGGGCACAGTGGTCACGCCTGTCATCCCAGCGCCTTGGGAGGCTGAGGCAAGTGGATCACCTGAGGTCAGGACTTTGAGACCAGCTTGGCCAACAAGGAGAAACCCCATCTTTACTAAAAATACAAAAATTAGCTGGGCATGGTTGTGGGTACCTGTAATCCCAGCTACTCCGAAGGCTGAGGTAGGAGAATTGCTTGAACCTAGGAGGTGGAGGTTGCAGTGAGCCGAGATGGTGCCACTGCATTCCAGCCTGGGCGACAGAGTGAGACTCTGTCTCAAACAAAACAAAACAAAACAAACAAAGCTGTCGTACTTATATTTCTGTTACATGTTATACCTGCTCATTGTAAAAACAAGCCCCACTCCTCCCCCAAAAAATAACTTCACATAATAGAGAAGTATCAGGTGAGCTCCCCAGTGGGCCCACCCAGAGAGAGTGGCTGGTGTTTCTCAATGGTTCAGATGTTTTACATTATGGATAACTTCCTCCTCACAAGTGCCAGGCCTGCTTTTGTCCTGCTTTCACTAGCCCTTTCCACCCAGCAGTGCCTCTTAGCGATTGGTCCACAAGGCTTGTGCAGACCGCCGTCATCCTCAGCCGCATGCAGTGTTCAGTTGCTGGGGTTTAACCAGTTCCTTACTCAGACATGTGTGAGCTGCTTTGAAATCTTTTTTTCTATTTTACTCCAGCCTGTTTTGTGCCATCAATTTTTTTTTTTTTTTTTTTTTTTTTTTTGGTGATGGCGTCTCATTTTGACACGTAGGCTGGAGTGTAGTGGGCTGATTACGGCTTATTGCAGCCTCGACCTCCTCAGTCTCCTGAGTTGCTGGGACTACAGGTGCGGACCACCAACGCTGGCTAACTTTTTTTTTTTTTTTTTTGGAGAGATGGGGTCTTGCCATGTTGCCCAGACTGGCCTTGCATACCCAGGCTCAAGTAATTTGTCCACCTTGGCCTCCCAAAGTACCGGGATTACAGGTGTGAGCCGCCGCGCCCGGCCACAGTTTAGTGGCCCACATCCATGGTTTCTTGTCTACGCTTTCTGCACACTGTTCCTTTTTGCCTTTCCCCTTCTTAATCATTGGAACTGGATAGTTGACACCT